TTTTTATAAGCATAAACAGCTGCATAAAATTTCATGAAACTTTGTAGATAATTAGGACACAATGCACAGATGTGCATATTACTAAAACAGGCACGTAGCAATATAATTGTTTAAAATTTGCATTAAAAGGCCGGTTGTCCCTCAACCCGCTTTGTGATACAGTAAAGTAAAATAAGGATAATGTACAAGTAGTATTTTATGGGGGGGGTTGTACTGAAAGAAGTTGGAACTTTAAAAAGCCCCCCCCCCCCAATAATATTTTCTTTTGAGGGCAATTTTTCACTTTTTAACTTTTTCAGGTAAGTTTTTTTTTCTCTTGCTGACCCCTTTCCCCTTTCAAAAACGATGCTACGTCATTGCAAGAAATTTTAATTTCTTTGGTTTTCTGGGTGAAGACTTTGTAAGCGCAACCCTGCTTAAGAGGGCGGGGGAGGGGGTTCGGGGTTGGTTCGTGGTCATTTTAGACAATATTGCTCTTTAGAAGAAAATGATCAAATTTAACAGCTGAAATAAATCATTTTTTCTTATCAAATGATAGTTTACATCTTTTAAAATCTAAATAGCATACTTTCTGTTACGGCTTCCAGATCTTCAAGCTGATCATATACGTAAGACCTGTAAGAAAAATGTTATCTTCGTTTAGTAGATAAATAATCTTCTTAAAATCAAATCTAGAAGACATTCTGTCCCTCACATCATTTACTACTTCTGCGATTTCATTTTAATCAATTCGTTTGGAAACTTTTCCGAGATTAAATGTATTAGGTTATTCACGCATTTTATTGTTTGTTTGTTTGTTTGTTTTGTTTTGTTTTGTTTTGTTTTTTTTGGGGGGGGGGTGTACTAGGATCAACCGCATGTCATTCATGTGTTGTGTGTGCTTTTTTTTTTTTTTGGAAAGGGGGGGTGTGTGCATTTGTGTGTGACTCCTTCAACGAAAGGAAGAATGAATAATTTTTGCCTTCAAACAATGTATGCTTACACTGTGAAATATTTTTAGAGAATAATATCTATGACCTACATTCTCAAAAATGTCGTTTATCTCAATTGAAAAAGAAATCATCAATAGAGGAAAATGAAATGAAATACTCATGCCTGTTTTTATATAGAGGTAAACGTATGCCACCAATTGATTCGAACCAGGCCACTATAAAAATGTTGAATGCCAGTCTCAACACATCCGAGCTTTTCTAACTAAAAGGATATTAAACATAAATATAACCATATAATTAAAGAAATTTTTTTTTCATTTTCGGGGTTTTTGTACTTTTCACCCACGTCGGTACCCCCTGAAAAGCTTTGTTCAAATAATATTCCTTCGATAAAAACCTATCAAAATATCAGATTCTTTGAGGGGTGGACAGGGGGCTGCTTTGGATGAGACGTCTAAGTCAACATGTAAAATTTATTTTTTTTTTTACTGTTAAATAGATTAAAATTGCATTTGTAAATGAAATTTAGGTTCTTTCGTTTTAGCAATCAAAAGCACGACAACTATTGGCATGCCCATCTATTCATGATATAAAACATGCTATAAAAAAATCCGGATAACCACATATTATATCGTTTGTGTAACATATTTTATCTTGTAAACATGACTACAAGGGTTAATGTTATCTCGTCCGTACGACTTATTATGTCGTACGTACGACTTAGTATCTCGTTCGTACGACTTATTATGTCGTACGTACGACATAGTATTTCGTAAGTACGACTTAGTATCTCGTTCGTACCACTTATTATGTCGTACGTACGACATAGTATCTCGTTCGTACGATTTATTATGTTGTACGTACGACTTATTATCTCGTTCGTAAGACTTAATATTATGTCGTACTTACTACTTATTATCTTGTACAGTGTACGTACGACTTATTATGTCGTACGTACGACATAGTATCTCGTTCGTACGACTTAGTATCTCGTACGTACGACGTATAATCTCGTACGTACGACTTAGTATGTCGTACATACGACTTAGTATCTCGTACGTACGACTTATAATCTCGTATGTACGACTTAGTATGTCGTACATACGACTTAGTATCTCGTACGAACGACTTACAAAAATATTTTTTTCTAGTGACAGCAGTACACTTCCGTAGATTAAAAATACAATTATAGTGAAAATTATAAATTTATTCCTCGATACGTATATCTGAAACGTTAACAGTGACATGTGTAAAGCTGTATCAAATCTAAAATAAAAAGTTTGGAATATTTAAATATATTTTATGTATTTCAGGTTGAGTATTAAAATCTTTGTATCAAATTAAAAGGAATTTAATTGCTTGTTTGCTTCTGTATTTTCAGTAAAAATGGTTCTTTTAAAAGGATTTGACTATCATTTTATTTATCCCTTTGTTTGTATCTCTTTCTTCCAGCTATCTGACTGTCTGTCTCTTAAACATCCGGGGCTTTAAGACATTCCCTTGACTAGATAGAAAACACAGTAAAACTTCAATAATTACCATTTATATAGCACAAGGGCATATATAAATATTTTGACAAGTGATATCTCATTGTTCAAGCAAAGGAGGATGTGTGTTTCTCTTAGATATTACAAGCGATTTTTAAATTTTATATCATTAAGGGTTGCAACTGCAACGCTTAAAGATACACTAGTGTGTATCATTAAGCGTCGAATATGTCGATATTTGCTTGTTTCATTAAGCGTCAGTGTTGCACTGCATTTGTGACGCTTAATGATATAATTCTGTCATTAAGCGGCGATTTAGCATTAGCGGTTGATAATGTCAGCTATTAATGCAATAATTTATGGCATTAAGCGTTGCAATTGCTACGCTTAATGCTATTTGTATCATTAAGCGGCGTTTTATCATTAGAGGTTGCTACATAGCGGTGTCTCCATATATGAGGGAAAAATTCCCGAGAGAGATGTTTTCACAACAAACAAACAAATTACTAAAAATAACATAAAACATGAACATGTTGGTTGTATCTCTTGTTTTCCCTTGAATCAGAAATGATTACATAAATATTTTAAAAATAATTACATGTATTATAAGATTTGAAAAGGTTGTGCATCTTAAAATTGTTCTGTGGTTGAATTAGCTATAAAAGTTTACTTAAGGATAAATAACACAAACAAACTTTTTTCAGAAATCAGCATTATTTCTCATAGATTTACATTTAAATTGACAACCTGAATAATGTTTACCAAGTAGAGTGGGAGAATTTTATAAGATTTTGTCATAAAGTTAAAAAATTGTGCAAAATTTTGTATGGAATTATATAGAAGGCAAACTAAAATCTCAAATCTAAGCACCAAGGAAAACCTACGATTTCTTTATATTTCAGGGATTTATTATTTGTCATTACAAATCAAAATCAGTCAAAAAATATATATCAACCCGCGCATCCATTTTTTGTTTTTGGTAGGTACCCTTAAATAAGCTTTATTTTGCTACTCAAAACACCTTGATTAACTATTTTCAATGATACTGTTTTCTGAAATATTCAGTTTTTTTCAACAATGGATACATATGTCATACATTTTCAGTTTCTCAAAAAATTGCATGAAAAAAAGCTTTTCAAATACTGTAACCATGGTAACCTCTACAAAATACATGTGAATCCTTTTGTTTTTAGCTCATTTGAGCTTTTCAGGGTTTTTTATCACATTACGTCTGTCGTCCATTTGTTTGTATGGAAACTTTACATTTTTAACTCGTCTACAACCACTGGGCCAATTTTAACCACTTCACATTGAAATCAGTATATGTACATCTGTATGTCAGTCTGTCAATTTAACCTTGGTCATCACAGTCATATCTATTGAATGAGAAGAGACAAGGCATTTGTATTAAACATATGTATAATTAGTATTTACCTGTGACAATGCCATGATTTTTTTTACCCATGACCTTGAAGTTTGACCTACTTGCAAAAAAATTACATTGTTTTAAATTCATCATTTTGAAAGAATTCATATTATACATGCATGTATATTATTACCTATGATAAGACCTTTCTAAATAAATCATGAATCTGTGACCTTGACCTTGAAGCTTAACCTACTTTTCAAAATGTTGCATTTGCTTATAACTGTGGATTGAGAAGAGATATGACTTTCACATTTGACATGTACAATACTCGTAAGAATTCAAGATGTTTCCCAGCATGCTATGATTTTTTACCCTATGATGTTGATGTTTTACCTAATTTTCAAAATATTTAACTCTCCTAAAAGATGATCAGGCTACTGATTTGACCCCCCGGGGCAAAATCAAAATACCGAAACCTTACTGCACATCTACATGACACCACCAACCATCTCCCAAAAGATGATTAGGCTGCTGAGTAAAATGTAGAAGGAATTCAGGGAAGACGGGGCTTTTAGCATAAAAAACATCATTTTTCGACCCCCATTTGACCCCCCGGGGCAAAATCAAAATTCCGAAACCTTACTGCACATCTACATGACACCACCAACCATCTCCCAAAAGATGATTAGGCTGCTGAGTAAAATGTAGAAGGAGTTCAGGGAAGACGGGGCTTTTAGCATAAAAAAACGTCATTTTTCGACCCCCATTTGACCCCCCCGGGGCAAAATCAAAATTCCGAAACCTTACTGCACATCTACATGACACCACCAACCATCTCCCAAAAGATGATTAAGCTACTGTGTAAAATGTAGGAGGAGTTCAGGGAAGAAAAGTGTGACAGACAGACGGACGGACGGACGGACATGAGTAACAACAATATATCCGAACTTTCTTTAGAAAGTGCGGGTATAATGATCTTGACCTGACCTTGTTTAAAAGAAATAACACTGTCAAATTCAACTAGCTTTTACCCTCATTCTGTGATACGTATGTACCGGTATAATGTTTAACTATAACAGAAATTTAAGAATTTTGGTTCAAAGTTTCTACAACTCGGTTCTAGGATCAAATCTAATTACATGTTCCTGTCGCAGCAGTCGAGAGAGAATTGAAATACTTGGCATTAGCTAGGATGTAAGTTACTGTACTTACTCGCACGTATCCAAGTAGTCTAGTGGGACGGACATAATACTTTTGATGTTTTCTGCAGGTAGCTTGATTCCAATAATTGCATAGCACCGTTGTATACCACTGGTCAGCATTTCACAAGTGTTCTGCTCATTCTGGGCAAGCACATTGTGCATTGAATCTGAAAAAAAGAAATGATGTAAACTTGAAAGGTACTCCTTTATTATTATGTGCCCAAATCGATAGATCCGAGGCGTATATTGTTTTCGTCCTGTCTGTTTGTCTGTTTATCTGTTTGTCTGTCTGTTGTCAACTTTAACCTTCGCCATAACTTTTGAACCATGAGAGATAAAGACTTTATATGGTGTTCATACTCCTCTAATTAAGTTCTTTCAAATGACACCAAGGTCAATAACCTTGTGACTTTGACTGTGACCTATATGCTAAAAATAGCTTTTTCGAACTTTCGCCATTACTTTTGAACCACAAGAGATAGGGACTGTATATTTGGTATGCATACTGTGACCTATATGCTTACAATATTTTTTGGAACTTTGTTGCCGCGTGCATAGTGTTTCACAAACACATCTTGTTTTAAAGTTCATTTAGTTTAGTGTAAGAGCCAAAACTTAGCTCTTTTTAAACCACGTCATTCCTCCTTAATCATAAACACAGTATCGGGGAGAGGGCTCTCTTAAATTATCACAGTCTGTATGCCTTACCAATTCCATAATAACAAGTATATACTGACAAAACGTCAGAGATACTCAAGCTATAGAAAGTCAACTAGTAAGTGTCATTAATATCCTGTAGTGGTATAAGATGAGGGCTATTGAGTTCAATCTTCTGTAGAATAAAACACAGTACATGAAACAAATTCATAGTTTGAATTTAATTAGAATAGATATAATTATATACTTTTAAAGATGAATTTACGTTACTCACTTTCATGAATATTTCATAGAGCATAGTGGCCGTTGCTTAAGTTAATAAAATATCTTTTTATGTTGATATACTTTAAACTATATATACGTTTTTTTGTATTTTTGCTTAATGACGTAGATCACAACACTTAATATACATTAATCCAGAGAGCTTGTTACAAGCCTGTAGAAAAGTTTTTCAAATTGGATGGGGGAGCTCGGGGGGGGGGGGGGGGGGGTCTCCAGGCTCCAAAAAAATCACGTGACTACGGGTTCATCTGGCTGTGCGGCCTGTCTTATATATATTCTGTACGAATCCAAAGAAGTTATATAGGTTCCGTTACCAAAGCTGAAGCTAACTAGTAAGATTTTTTAAAATTAAAAAACGTATCAGGGATAATTTAACATTAATTTTCTGCTATTATCTTACTGTCAGAGTGTCACTCAAAGTGCACATGCACATCATTCTCAGGCCCGTGAAAAGCAATTTCAGTATTGGGATACAACCATACATTTTCTGGCTATGCATAGTAGAATTTGTTAACGATGGGATAACCTGTGTCACCTTTCAGAGTAAAAAGTGGACTCGTCCGATGATGCTTTGTCGGCGACTGTAAAAGTTACCCGAGATTCCTACGCAAAGGAAAGCGCGAAATCTCTGTATAGAAACTGTTGCGACTGCGGAGCTTCACTCATTGTTCATTCGTCATAGAAAAGAATCCGACATTTAATATCTTTTGATATACAGACTTTTTCAAGATAAGCTTCATTTTTGTTTCTAGAAATATTTTTATCTTCAAAAATAATATCTTTTTCGTGTATTTTAACTAAGTAAATCAATAGGGGTCTTCCTTCGGCCACAGGGAGTTGTTATGTATAATTTCAGTGCAAAAGATCAGAGTTCAAGAGTTCTCAAGATATCGCGCGGAAACGAAAGTGTTATAAAAGACAGAATTTGCGAATTTATGACCTTGACCTTTGACCTTTTGACCTCAAAATCAATAGGGTTCTTCTTTAGTCCATAGGAAGTTGCTATGCAAAATTTCATTGCGAAAGCTCAAAGGGTTCTCAAGATATCATGCGGAAACGAAAGCGTTACAGACAGACAGAAAGACGGACGGACGGACAGACCCAAATTAATATCCCCCACTTTTCAAGCGGGGGACAAAAACTCATAACACTGGACGCTTACTTTACATAATATAAACGCCTTATAACACTGGACGCTTACTTCACATGAAATGTGTCAATGTTAATTTGCTGCAATTAGTTAATAAATGTTAAATTTTTGTCCCCCGCTTGGGGGATATTAATTTGGGTCTGCCCGTCCGTTGGCATATTTTATTTGCTTCAGTACACATGTACATGTAATAATAGTCATGTATACATTTAATAATTCTACAAATTCAGTCAAGGGGGATCCGAACTCCCCCCCCCTCCCCCCCCCCCCCCCGACACTGCGCATGGTTTACTTTTTAAGCGAGGGACACAAATTCTCTGAATTAGCTTGTTGTATTAGATGTCGCTATTTTTAGCACAGGGGCATGAGGAGAGTTATTATGTATAAAACAGGTTCTCGGCGGACTTTATATTCTTATTACATCTATTAGAACTGTTTAATAAAGGTTAAATTAGACACTAAGCATTATATAAAATTTTGATAATATCGAACGTGAATATATACATGTATGTGACTTCATCTTTGCGTATAATTTTCGCTGGGGTAAAGCGGTTTCGTGGTTTAGTGGTATGTCTCTCGCTAAATATGTGAGAGGTCACAGGGTTCGAATCTCGGACGATCCATTTTCTTTTTATTCCGAAATACTTTTTTTTCTTACTAAATGATAGTATTCAGCATGTGAAATGAAAAATTTATGAGGTCTGGCTTGTTCAAACTCATAAAATCATCATTACAGTGTGATAAATATTCCATATAAAAAGAATCTTCTATACACATAATAAAGAATAAGCAATCAGATCTTTATATCCATATGGCATATTTTATCCGCTTCAGTATACATGTATACATTTAATAATTCTACAAATTCAGTCAGGAGGGGTCCGACCCCCCCCCCCCCTCCCCAACTGCGCATGGTTTACTTTCTCCCAAAGCGGGGGACACAAATTCTCTGAATTAAATTGTTTTATTAGTATTTATTGTATTACATGTCGCTATTTTTCGCACAGGGGAATGAGGAGAGTTATTACGTATAACACAGGTTCTCGGCGGACTTTATATTCTTATTATTACATCTATTAGAACTGTTTGATAAAGGTTAAAGTAAACACCACGCATTGTGTAAAATTTTGACAATTTCGAACGTGAATATAAACATGTACATTTCTGTATATAATTAACGGCAGTGTAAAGCGGTTCTGTAGTGTAGTGGTGTGTTTCTCGCTCCACATATGAGAGGTCTTTGGCTCGAATCCCGGATGATCCATTTTCTTTTTTTTCCCGAAATACTTTTTTTTACTAAATGATAGTATTCAGCATGTGAAATGAAAAATTTATGAGGTCTGGCTTATACAAACTTATAAAATCATCATTACAGTGTGATAAATGTTCCATATTAAAAGAATCTTCTATATACACTGAAAGAAAAACCTAGTGAATTTAACTAGTGTGTTTCGTAAAGCGTTGGTCGTGATTAGTAAACTTTCAGTTTACTGGTTAAGATAGTGAGTTGTGGAGCGGGGGTCGTATAGATACGTAGATACCTAGTCAAAGTTACTCATCAATTCTAAATTTACTAATCTTATCTAGTAAATATACCAATATCTGGTAAAACTACTATTAAGGTAGTGATTGTATGGACCTTGAATCTACTAGTTTTCTTCGTGACATAATAAAGAATAAGCAATCAAATCTTTATATCCATATTGGCATATTTTATCCGCTTCAGTATACATGTACACATTTAATAATTCTACAAATTCTGTCAGGGGGATCCAACACCCCCCCCGAACTGTGCATAGTTTACTTTTTTCCCTAAGCGGAAGACACAAATTCTCTGAATTAGCTTGTATATACATGTATTTGGAATTATTTTGATTTTTTTTATTGATGTTTAAAACATAGAGCAATGCGGATGTCGCCGAGTCACAACGGAACGTCACGTTCTAAAGTGAATTTTTTCTTAGAATGAAAAAGACAAACACATTCAAACGATTCTTAAAAAAGCACCTAGTAATCTCCCATTTTTTAAAATTCTCATCATTTTTGTACCCGCACTCTCTAAAGAAAGTTCGGGTATATTGTTGTTACTCATGTCTGTCCGTCCGTCTCACACTTTTCTTCCCTGAACTCCTTCTACATTTTACACAATAGCTTTTAATCATCTTTTGGGAGATGTTTGCTGGTGTCATGTATGTACAGTAAGGTTTCGGATATTTAATTTTGCCCCTGGGGGTCAAATGGGGGTCGAAAAATGATGTTTTATGCAAAAAACCTCGTCTTCCCTTTTACACAGTAGCCTAATCATCATTTGGGAGATGGTTGGTGGTGCCACGTAGATGTGCAGTAAGGTTTTGGAATGTTGATTTTGGCCCGAAAGGTCAAATGGGGGTCGAAAAATGATTTTTTTTTTATGCAAAACGCCCCGTCTTCCCTGAACTCCTCTTACATTTTACTCAGTAGCATAATCATCTTTTAAGAGATGGTTGGTGGTGTCATGTAGATGTGCAGTGAGGTTTTGGAATTTTGATTTTGCCCCAGGGGGTCAAATGGGGGTCGAAAAATGACGTTTTTTTATGCAAAAAGCCCCGTCTTCCCTGAATTCCTCTTACACTTGACTCAATTGCCTAATCATCTTTTAAGAGTTGGTTGGTGGTGTCATGTAGATGTGCAGTAACGATTCGGAATTTTCATTTTGCTCGGGGGGTCAAATAGGGGTAGAAATTTTTTTTTTTAATATTTGATATGTTTAATGACCCTAATTTATGGCAGATTGTGTGTCAAATATGCGCCCCTATCATATGTCAATTTTTGAAAATTATTTCAAAGGGGAAAGAATCATAGCATGCTCGGAAATATTTTGTTGCAGGTAATGTACATGTCAAACATGAAAGTCCTAACTCTTTTCAATCAAAAGTTATATATTTTTGAAAAGTAGGTTAAACCTCTAGGTCAAGGTCAAGGTCTTTTTCAAAAAGATCAATTTAAAATGTTTTTTTGGGGAGGAAAGTAGGTAAAACTTTAAGGTCAAGGTCTCACTTGGGTTAAAAAATCATAGCATATTTAGAAAGTTTTGTGGTA